CACTCACTCACTCACTCACTCACTCACTCACTCACTCACTCACTCACACTCCCTCTCTCTCTCACACACACAAAGAAAAAATAGTTTTCTCTTCTGTAATTAAGATAGGGGTTTACTCTTGGTCCAGTGCCCCCTCCATGTTCAGTGGTCAGGAATGGCCGCAGGCCTTTATACTTTATTAGTATTGGATTTCTACAACTCCTTTCGTTGTCAATTCAACCATGAAGTTTCCACTGGATGTGGAAAAGGCCAGAGCCATGATGCCATCAAGACAAACTCTTTAAAAACACAAATAAGAAAGGTCAAGTCTGAGACAGAGCTCAGGGGTCTATCACAAACCCCATCAAGGAGGGTGCATCAGCTGATGAGGCTCCCCAAGGCCAACGCTCGGCTTCTGTCCCTCTACTAATACAGTGCGGCTTTGAGGGGATGGACCCAAAGCAAATCAGCAGGGAAAAAAAAAAAAAACAAAAAACAATTTTCAGAAAGGGGACTAGAGGCCTCAGGCAAGCCAGGAAGTGCCTGTTCGAGATCTCAGGACCAAGGGACGAGGCCCAGGGTTCCAGGCCAGCCTGGGCTACGTGGGTTGAGCTCATTAGGAGGGCTTGTGCTCAGGACAGGCCCGTGCTCCACCCCCACATTGTTTTAGAAGAGATGACCTGGGAATAATGAACTAGGTAGTCGTCCTAAGTGACTGGTAGCTGGCCACAGTGAGAGCGACTGAGGACAGTACTGTGCTTCAAGAAATGAGGACAGGCTGCCTGTCCAACATGGCTGCCACTGGCCACATCTGGCCACTGAGATCTGAAGTAGCTAGTCTGAAGTGAAATATGTTTAATACACACAGGATTTCCAAAATTAAAAAAGAACAGAAACCATCTCAGTGATTTTACATCAAAGTAATAGTACTTTTGGTAAATATATTAAAATCAATACCATGTTTTTAAGAAAATATTTAAAAGATATGTTTAGTTGGGTTTAGTGGCGCACACCTTGAGTCCTAGCACTCAGGAAGCAGAGGCAGGAGGATCTCTCTGAGTCTGATACCAGCTAGTCTACAGATCGAGTTACAGGCAGCCAGGGTTATACAATAGGCCCTCCTTTTAAAAGCAGTTACTAGGAAAGTTTAAATTACACGTGTGGCTCACGTGACATTACTGCAGGCACTGTATCCCCGGATGGTGACACCAAGCCAATCATTTGCATTTGTAGGAGTTAACAGTCAGGACAGGGCTGGTCTGTGGTGTTTTTCTTAGAACCTGTGGATAGCTGACGTGGAGCGGTTTGGTACCCAGGCCCTGCTCTGCTTCAAGTATCACAGACTGTTTTGAGAGCTACACGTGGCAGCATACTCCTGTAATCCCAGCATGGGGTTGGGGCAGCCTGGGCTATGTGGAAAGACCCTGTCTCAAAAAACAAAACAAAAAACAAAAAAGAAAGCAAAACAGTTTCAAGAGTTCTGAAACGAGCAGCTGTCCCTTTGTAAATGACCGATCCCAGGCGGGCTGCCACTCTGTCCAGGAGGTGACACTCCTCTCCTGTGCTCCCCAACACCTCCCTCCACCGCTGCGGACCAGTCCTAGCGAAGAGCACAGGCCTCCAGAGCCAGGCCTTCCTTCTGTGGGGCATGTGTCTGAGGAAAGGGCCATGTTGGCTGAGCAGAGAACCTGGGGACAGCCCAGGGCTGCTGCCGGGGAGGAGGGGCTGCTGCTTACTTAATAAACCTTATTCTCAGGGTAATTACAAGTCTTACAAATTGCTTAAAAACACATTAGTTTACAGGATGTTACAGTGGGGTAAATAATATGTATTATCAAAATAGTCTAAATAAATATTTACACAATAGACCAAAACAGGTCAAAGAGAACTGTTCTGATTTAACAGGTTAATTCTTTTTCACTTGAGGTTTTCTTTAATTTTTAAAAATATTTCTGTAAGAAAAAAATAATAAAATTTAACTATATTCAAATACATGAAGTTTCAGACCAAAGAATGGAGACCGAGCCAGAATCCAGCCCCAGCCCCACGTGTGCAGTCTGGCTCCAGCCCCATCCAGAGTCTCTTGCATACGTCAGACCTGCTGCTTCAGAGGAGCCTGGATGCTCCGCCACCCAAACTGGTTGTCGGTAGGGTGCGTTTATGCGGCCTCCAGTTCCCTGAGCCGGCTGACCCTGCCCTGGCCAGCGCTGGCCCTCCCAGCGCTGGGGGCACAGGGTCCGGTCCTCCTGCTCCAGCGGAAGACACAGCGCGGAGCAGCGACGTTAGCAATTCTCCCGAGGTCACTCTAGACGGGAAAGGTCCAACACCGGCCAAGCGCACCTCTGCCGATCAGGGGAGCACGTTAGGACTGCTGGCGCTTAGCTCTCCACATTCTGCCGGGAGGGTTTTCTCAGAGGAACGGGTTGAAGAATCCTTAGAAGCTCAGGCAAGCTGCGGTGCAAGCGCACACACACACACAAGCGCAGGCGCTGGGTGCCGGGTGCCAGGCGGCCCCCAGGCGGCGCTGCTGGGCCCTCCAGCGGAGCCCGGCCACCCGGCTGGCTGAAGTTACGAAAGCCGACTGCCGGTTCTTTAGCTGAATTATGTGCACTTATTTACACATTCAAACACTGGTCAGAAGGCTTCTGACTAAGAATTAGACACATACAGCAGTTCTCACGCGAGTTACTTGACTTGCTGACTTGGGCTCGGCAGTTTCCTGTTCAGAAACCCCGCAGAACACCGCACTAGAGGAAAATGGCAAGTGCATACAGGCGGGGAGAGTGGGACACACCTCGCCCTCACGGGAACTCGTTAAACTCCCTCACAAACGTCTAAACCGTTAGGTAGAAATGCAGTACGTATACTAGATGGGAAAACTGCAACATGCATGGAGCTGCTTCAGTGCGAGCTGCCGTGGACGCCAGGGCTGAGGCGCGATGCACACTCCGTGTGTCGCTAGCACGGCAGCCCGTCCCCCGCGCTCAGCAGCACCCAAGGGCTACACCCACCGTCCTCCCTCGGGGCTGGCTACATGTTGTAGGCCACATAGATCGGGTCCAGCTGGTCGGCCAGGAAGCTGTCGCGGAGGTGCATGCGCTGCTTCTCCCCTCTCGAGTTGATGGGGACCACCCCTGGGTCCACCACGACCACAACCCCGACGATGAGGTAGTGCTCTTCCAGAACCACATTGGTCACGAGAGGAACCAGGTCCAGGGCCTCCTGCTCAGAGCCACACAGTTCCACAACCACCACCAGCAAGTTGGTCCACGTGAACACGGCACTGAAATTCCAACGACACTCAAGTTAACAGGCATCTTTTAAAGCACTATTTTCATTTGACGAGGATGGGCGTCCGCCTGCACGTACGTGAGTGCATGTGAGTGCTCCGCGTGCAAGTATGTAAGTGTACTGCGTGCGTGCAGGGGCTGAGGAGGGAACACGAACCCCTGGAACTGGGGTGCGATGGCTGTGAGCAGCCGTGTGGGCGCCGGGAAAGAACCTGCAGAACTGCAGTGCTCGTAACTGGCAAGCCATCCCTCCAGTCCTTTGTGGGGAGGACACGCAGAGCATAGGGTGTGGAGAGGCAGAGGACTGGCTGAGGGGTCAGTTCTCCCCCACAGTGCGGCTGAGGTAGCCAGGCCTAGCGCAGGGCCTTTCCGGTGGTGCTGGCCGACTGGCCCTCATCTTTTGTACTATCTTCCGAGATTTACGCCCCTTTCCCTGAAGACTACCTTTCTCCCGGATGTCAGAGGCCGACAGCTGCCCTCTCCATCATTAACACTTAACATTAACAGAAAAATACTGGGGAGGTAGAGGCAGGAGGAGCTCTGTGAGTTTGAGGCTAGCCTGCTCTACATAGTGAGTTCCAAGACAGCCAGGACTAAAGAGAGACCCTGTCTCCAAACAGACCAACAAAACAAAACAAAAAACCCAAGGTGCTGGAGCGATGGCTCAGTGGTTAAGAGGAAGTACCAGCCGCTCTGTGGAGGACGGGAGTTTGGAGCTTGGGTTCTGGTACCTACGCTGGGGGAATCCTCTCCGGGACTCCAGGTACCTGTGGCACGTATGCACACAGACACACAGTTAAAAACAAGCAAACATACAAACCCCAGAATGAAAGGCAGTAGGTGAAACAAGTTTTAATTTTAATGACCTTCCTGTCAGCAAGAGGATGATAATTCCTCATGAGGGAAATACAGGCAAGGTCCTGCACTGAGGACCAGCTTAGGTGGTAACCATCCTTTTCCCCTGTTTCCCACAGACAGTTTAAAAAGCACACGCTGACTGACCCTTTGGATAATCAGGAAACACAACGCACTGTGGGAAGGTGAGCCATTATTATCAGTAATTTAACATTCACTTATTACGCTCGTCCTAAAGCAGGCGGCCCGCCAGCTCTTCTATACCTGAGAGTCTGCCCTCACAAAGCCACCTGGCACCGTGTCCCCATGCTCCACTGTGGCTCCAGGGTCCCTCGGCTCTGGCCAACAGGCTTTAGTGGCCACACTGGACCCTTCAACCGAGGTGGCCGACATGGTTTCCCACCCCCGAAGGGCTTCCTCAAGGGTGCGTGGCCCTGTCCAGGCAGATGCCTACGCAGATCCTGTCAGCGTCACTGATGTGAGAAGGGATGCTCGGGGAAATTACCATTCTGCAATGCTCCTGTGCGCCCGGGACACCGAGTTCTCGATGTCTGTGGGGTGGTACCGCAGTCCCCTCAGCTCCAGTGTCTCATCCAGCGCGCCCACCACGTACAAGGCGTCGTGACGTTCTGAAAGGAAGGGGAACAGGCTCAGATGCGCAAACACAGCAACGGTGGGCGTAAGAGCACACAGAACATATCAGCCCTTGGCTGGCGATGTCTCTGGCCCTGCTGCTTGCTCTGCGGACAGGAATAGGGACAAACGGCCGCTGTGAGGAATGCATTACTTGGTTGGGCTTGGGGAGGGCTGAGGAGGTGAGCCCAGTCCTCAGAGGCTGGGTAAAGGCGGGAGGAAGGCTGGCGGCACGCCTGACGCTGGCCGCCGCACTGTGCTGGCGTGCAGGGCTTGCTTTGGCTTCGTGAGCGCGGACGCGCAGACTGTGTGCATGCGCGCGTGTGCGCTGTGACAAGAATGTGGAGTCATGGCAGCAGCAAGCTGCTCCTCCTGAGCACGGCCCTGGGGTTCTTGTGAGCCGCTGTGCACGTGCTGGGAACCAAACCTGGGTCCGCTGGGAGAGCAGCCAGTGCTTTTAACCACTGAGCCACCTCTCCAGGCTCAGTGTAATTTTTTTTCTTTGTAATGTGTATACGTGCATGTCTGTGCACATAAGTGTAAGTGTGAGTGTAGGTGCCCTCAGAGTTGGAGTTACAGGTGCTTATGAACCACTTGATGTGCTAATTGAGAATTGAACCCAGGACCTCTGGAGAGCTGCAGGTCCTCTAACTGCTGAGCCACCTCTCCAGCCCCAAAGATAAACAGACAAACAAACAAAGGCTTTGCCAGGTAGTCGATATGGTGTAAAGTAGCCATTATTACTCCTATTATGTGACACGGACTGTGAAGACCACAGGTCGCGCTCTGAGGACCTACACGGGGTCTGGTAAGATGGCTCAGGAGATGGAGAGCATGCTCAGTGGGAGGAAGACCAGCCAGGCCTGCAGACTCAGCCCCCACCACGTTTGAGTGTGTGTGTGTGCGCGCATACACACACCCACACACCCACACACCAATTAGGGTAATAAATAAAAACTCTTTTTTTGAAAAAATGTTGCTGGGGGAGCTGCAAACAGGAGTTCCCCTCTAAGCAACTCAAGTGCAGGACAGGCAGGCACAGGCATGAGACCCAAGGAGTGAGGACACTAGAGCCCTACGAAATGGTGTGGAGAAAGCTCCTGGAGACGCTGAAGCCGTGGCTGAGCTCCGACAGGTCAAGAACTAGCCAGCTCTGGTGGGGAAGGGAAGGAGGGCGAGTCTGGACCAGAGGGCAGAGTCGTGCGCCAGTTTCCAGCTGTCTTCACCAAGACACAGTGAGAGTGCAGGGCGTGGAGACGGCTGTGTGGCCTCACCCAGCAGGGCACAGACGCCAGGCAGCTCGGAGACGGCCTGCGAAGAGCACTTCTGATCTGCTCAATGACAGTCCAGACAGATGCGGCCCAAGTGAGCCCTGTTTCTTCTGCGTCCCAGCGCTGAGTGCAGCACAGTTCATCACACACCCATGACGGGGGACCTCGGGCTCCTCGGCAGACAGGTGGAGTGACTGCTCACGGTCATAGAGCTTGGCACTCGGCGAGGGCCCAAACCTCACCTCCTGGTGACAGCGGCCTCCGCATGACATATGGAGAAACGATACACTCTGAGGCTCAGCCAAGGAGAAATGGTCCAGTGGAGGCCTTTACAGCCCAGGGCTGGACCAGTTCTTCTGTGCAACAGAGGAAGTGTTGTGTGTTCTGCAGCAGCCACCAATGCCAGTCAGGAAGAGTGTGCCGCAGAAAGCACAGAGGCTGTGACAGCCGGGCAGAAGACGGATTTCGGGAACTCTCTGACAGAGGCTGCCAAAAGCAGGCCTGGATCCTCTGCAGAACCACGTCCCAGGCCAGGCAAGGCGGTGCGGCCCTTCAATCCCGGCACTCCAGAGATAGAGGCAGGAGGACCTCTTTGAGTTCGAGGCCAGCCTGGTCTACAGAGTGAGTCCAGGACAGCCAGGGCTACACAGAGAAACTCTGTCTCAACAAACCAAAAAACAAAAAAATAAGAATGTTTCTGTACTCAGAATGGTGGGCAGGGGCAGAAGGACAAGGAAGAGCTGTCCCAGGAGCTTGGCCAGCGTCTGGGGTCAGCCCCAGGCGCCTGCTCTGCCTGCTGCACCTCAACAGCACCTCTAGCCGTTCTGACACCTATGGCCATGTGACCGTCCACACAGTGCTCAGGGCAAAGGTCACTTCAAGTGACTGTGACTTCAGAGGGACCCCACAGTCCCCAGGCAGGTGGAAGAGGCCGGCCAGTGCTCTGTGGACCAGGAGCTGAAAAGAGAATGGGGATGGAAGATACCTCCAGTGGCCGCCGTGAGCTCAGTCCTGCGGACAAACCCAAGGTACCCTGTCCGGGCCCACAGGGTCTGGGCGGCATCCCCGAAGCTCAGGCGCGTGTTGAAATGATCAGCCTGGAGGGTCTCACTGTCATAGATGGTGTAGTAGCCGCTGGCTGTGTGCGGGCTATTCACCCAGATCTGCAGAAGGAAACATGACCATGTCAGTTCAGTCTCCCAGGACAGATTATTTGGATTAAAAAAAATAATAATAATCTCATTTTCACATTAACAGCAGTCACAACAGCATGTAGCTGACATTTATCTAGCATTTTCTCTCTGCTGGACTCTACTGGCCTGATCTCCGCCAGTTCTGACACACACAGGACGGCCTCATTGCCATAACTTTCTTATTTTCGCTATACAGATAGAAAGCCAAGACTAAACATTCCTCCAAGAGGCAGGACTAGAAGGGAGCCCTTCCGCTGGTGGTTGGCACCAGAGGCCGTCTCTTAACCACTAGGCTGCATGCCTCCCTGGGTTCATTTCTCACCGGCTGCCAGAGTCCCACAAAAGCACAAGGCATGATTACCAGTCTTCTGGTGTAACTGTGGCATAGGCTTTTGGGACACCAGCAAAGGACGCCTGAGTTTACAGTGTAAGCAAAGCAACAGCTGACAACAGGCTGTGGAGGTCTGAATGAGAACAGCCCTTGTAGGCCCATATATGTGAATGCTTAGTGAGCAGGAGAAGCACTATTTAAAAGCATTAGAGGGATTAAGAGGTATGGCCTTTTTAGAGGTGGTATGTATTCCTAGAGGAGGCTTTGAGGTTTCCAAAGTCCATGCCAAGCCCAGAGTGTCTGCCTCTCTGTCTCTGTCTCTCTGCCTATAATCAGGATGTAGCTCATTAAAAAAAAAAAAAAGATTTATTTATTTATTTTATGTACATGAGTGTTCTGATTGCATGTACACCTGCAGGCCAGAAGAGGGCACCAGATCTCATTTTAGATGTCATGAGCCACCATGTGATTGCTGGGACCTGAAGAGCAGACAGTGCTCTTCACCTCTGAGCCATCTCACTGGACCCAGGATGTAGCTGTTAGCTACTGCTCCAGTACCGGCCTGAATGTATGTCATCGTGCTCCCCACCATGAGGGTGGACTCACCTTCTGCAAACAAGCTCCCAATTGCAACAATTCTCTAACAGTTGCCTTGGTCACTGTGTCTCTTCACTGAACTCAAACAGTGACTAAGATGGTGGCAGAGGGTAGCTACCTGGCACCTATACATCTAAGACCCCTCCCATTCAGCTGTGGATCCAACAGCACTCCTCAAAGATCCGGAAAAACAGAAGAATGAAAAAACCTTAAGAGGACTTCTACACTAAAGCAAAGGAGCAAAAACCAATACATTTTGGACTATAACATTTATGAGTATTTACAAATGTACATGTGGCTCTCCTTGGCCCCGCCCTGCATAGGATTTGGCCAGCTAGCTTTCACATAAGGGAACTCGGCAAACAAACCTGAGACATTGCTACCCAGTCTTGATTCCGGCCTCAGCCTCCTCCTCTGCCACGCCTCACTGCCGGCTGCCGGAGAAATCAGCACGCCGAGCAGGGGAACGGAGCTCAGCCTACTTCTATCCGCCTGCAGTACGGGACCTTAAAATCTTAGCCGCTAAACGGGACTGCACCTACCTCACCAAGGTGAGAGTCTCCAACAGGCCCTTTGGTCTCGGGATTAACAATAACAACCTTTACTCCAGGTAAGATCTAAGGAGCAAAGGGGAAACAGTTCAATCAAAGCCTGTACTTTGGCTGTGCTTAGCATATTGTAGAGGTCTATCTAACATGCCTGTGCCTGGCTCCCCCCACCCCCCACCCCTGCAAATAACTACTGGCCTCTAGGAACTGGGCCTTTAGCTTGACTAGAAATGGCTGGAGCTGACAAAAGTGGCCCTGAAGCGCTTTCCTGTTTGTTCCTGGTCAATCTTCCTCATCTTACGTAAGTTTCACTCTCAAAGGAGAAAGCAGGCCCAGACTGCCAGGTCTTCAGAGGCATGAGAGACTCGTGCTTAGGGCCACAACAGTGAGACTGTGGTAAATAACTCAGCCACCCCCTTCGGGGAAGCCCTTTCCAAAGATAAACAGTAGGGACCTCATGGAGACCACTCCACAGTCAGCCAAGGGCTGCGGCGGGGAGCCACACAGAGAAAGCAGCCATGGCTCAGGTATCTTGGGAGTCACGTTTCCAGGATCTTCCGGGAGGGAGAAGAAGCATCTGCTGGCTTGAGCAACAGCTCAGGGCTTACCAAAGATGGTTCTTGGGTCAGGACGGAAGCTCAGCAGTAAGCACTGGCCTAGCATGTACAAGGATCTGGCTGGGTAAATGGCAGCAGGCTGGCTGCCACTGTGGCTACCTGTCTCGTGCCCTGTTGACTTTTAGCCTGGGTTTCGACAGCCTGGAGGAAGGGAACAAAGGGACAGTTCCCAGAAGCCACAGCCTGCCCTCATGACACGGCACTCCTGCTTCCATGGGCTCCCAGCTGCAGACGTGGGCCAATGAATGGCACAGCCCACACAAGCCTCTAAGGGGACATGTGCTGGAGACATCAGGCAGGATCTCCTTTGCGTTTCTCTCTGCTCTGCCTCAGCTTTCCTGGGGGACCCCTGAGACACAGTGGCACAGTGCTGTCATCTAGACAGTGGGGACGCGGAGACGCTAAGGACGGAAGAGATGGGGTGAAGAGAGCCTCAGGTGCTTCACCACAGGCAACGCTCCGTTTTGCTGCCCTGTGGGTGCTCGCTCTCTCCTCCTGACCCTCAGCTTCAGGGTTTAGACAGAATGGGCTCTCTTCAGGTGCTGCTCATGTAACCACTTTCAGCTCACCAGGAAGAATGCCATGTCTGTGGGCTGGCAGACCATGGAGATGAGGCCGCCTCTGAAACCAGCACCTAAGGTGGAACTCCAGGCTTCCCTGAGCTTCCCTCCTGCTTCAGGCCTCTCCCGTGCCCCTCCCCCAGCAGCGGCAGCTGAGTACCTTTCCAGACTCAGCCAGCACGAGACTCTGGGGCGCCCCCCGCTCCACCAGACGGACCCTGCAGAAGAGCAGCAGTTAGTGTGTGCAGTCTCTCTAAAGCGAGCTTCGCCACTGCGGCTAACCGGCGCCTTCCCTGCCCAGCGGAGCAGGGTTTTCTTACACTCCACACTCCTGACGCTCTGCTCTGGTAGATTTGGGTGTAGGTGTTGCTAGCAACATCCCGGCCCTACTTGCTCCCACTGTGACAACCACGTGTCCCCAGGCGTGGTGAGATCTTAGGAGACAGGGCAAAGCTCTCCAGGCTGAGAATGCTGTGTAGACACCTGCTGTGAGAAGGAGCTACTTCAGCTGGGAAGGTGCCTGTAGGTGCAAGCACGTGTCCGCCCTCGGCATCAAGTGGGAGGCCAGGCGTGCTGGCCATGCTTGTGACCCTGGTACCTGGAGATGGGGACAGATGAACCCATGGGCTAGACAGCTAGCACACTTAGCAGACTTAGCCAGACACGGGTCTCAAAGAGAGACAGAGACCCTATCTCAAAAGACAAGGGGAAGGTCCCGAGGAACTCAGTAACACCACTGAGGTGCTCTTCTGGCCTATACATAGACACACACACACAAACACAGACAGACAGACAGACAGACACACACACACACACACACACACACACACACACACACACACACACACACTACACAAACATAAAAAACAAAAGCAACCCACCGCAATATGGGCTGGAGCCCGCCTGGCTACTCTAGGGAGCAGCCCCAGCCTAGTGTGCGAAGGGCTCAGTGTCTCAGCTCACTGTGGGACGAGACTAAAAACTCAGCTAGGGAGGCGGCTTTACAAACCCTGGAGGCAGATTCAGTGCTGTCTCAAGACCCTTCCCTGTCCCATCTTTATTTTTAAACTGCAGAGCAAAGACACTCTCCATTTTTTGTTTCCTTGCTTGCTTTTGTTTCTGAGACAGGGTCTCCCTGTGTGGCCCTGGCTTTCCTGGAACCACAGAGATCCATCTACCTCTGCCTCCTGAGGGCCAGGATTATAGGTGTGTGCCACCGTGCCCGGCTCAGCTTTCTTTTTTTTTTTTTTTTTCCAATTTTATTTATTATGTATACAGTGTTCTGTCTGCATGTACACCTCAGAAGAGAGCACCATATCACATTACAGATGGTTGTGAGCCACCATGTGGTTGCTGGGAATTGAACTTGGGACCTTTGGAAGAGCAGGCAGTGCTCTTAACCTCTGAGCCATCTCTCCAGCCCCAGCTTTCTTTTTATAAGCAAAATTCTATCACTTATTCATGACAAATAATCCTTTCCCTTCTTATACCACCCCTCAGGGTGTAAACATGAACAGGACGAGGGTGCTGATGTGAGACCAAGCTCCGTGCTCACCTGTCATGTCTCAGTGACTTCAGATCCACGTACACAGTTGTGGGGTCAGGCCCTGAGGTTCCCTAAGAACAAAACAGCACAAAGTTTGTTTAAGGCCTGAACGAGTCGTCTCGTCCACAGATGGGAAGCAGTGGCTGTGGGAACTCCTGCTTGCTCCTGCTCCCTGTGCAGGGCGCAGCTTCGACTCAGGCTTCTCCTTGGCTTTCCTGAAGTGGTGCAGCAGTACTAAGGCCAAGGGGAGTGTTGGGGAGGTGGGGGGGTTGTGGTTGCCCACCTAGGATGAGGAGGGCAGGGGCACAGTGGAACTCTCACTTCCTGGCCACAGGAGAACCCAGTCTTGGCCACACCCTCTTACTCTCATCTACACGTGGACTGCCTCATGAGCTGCTAAGCAGCATAAGGTCAGAATGTTTAGACCCACCCAGAACAATGCACCAAGAGATGCAGGTTTATTCTAAAAAGGCAAAATATGGGGACAAGAAAAAAGGAAGGCTGTATAATAATTAATAAAATGCAAACTGAGCTCAAGAGCAGCCCCGAGAGTACAGCGCACGGGGAGCCAACTGGCTTGCTCCTGTCTTCCCTTGTGACCTACTGACCTGCAGGCCAACCCCAGGACAAACCAAAGTGACATCTTATAGATGAACGTAAGGAGACAGAGCAAGCGAGAAAAGAAGCCTGAAGTCCCACAGTGCGTAAGGAGGGCCGGGCTCAGGCTCAGGCCTTTAAGTCCTACCTCAGAGCCTCACAGTCCACTGCAAGGACCACCTCTGCCATCTTAGCTCCCCTAGGGACTCAGGCTGAGAGTTCAAGGTCAGGCAACACAGGGAGACTCGTCTCAAAGAACCTAAAGGAAGAACGACTGAGGTGGTCACCTGTAAACAGATCGCGACGTTGACTCTGGATCCGAACGTGGTGCTGACAGCTCGAGGGGACAGGCCAATGTCCTTGAAGAGCTTGGAGAAGGACTGCTGGAGGGCGATGCGGGGCCTCTCCTCTGCTACCACCACACAGGTCCGGACGCAGGAGAGGTTGATCCCTCGGGTCTGGAAGAAACAATGAGGACGGTCCCTTCCTGCTCAGGAAAAGCCGAGCACTGCCCAGGCCCAAGAAAAGCATCTCTCAGAGAGGAACAGTCAGCTGTAGGTAGAGCTGCTCTTTTCTTTAGCTACAGTCTCGGGCTGGGCTGGGTGGAAGACACAGGCTGGAATGAACAGGCCCTGGACTTCATCATCACTACCAAAGTAAGAACAGGCGATGCCCTAAAACCTAAGCTCTCAGGCTTCTCTTTTTTCAGCAATGCATTGCTGTTCTTGCTCATTTGCCCTCAGATTTCTCTCATTTGCTAGGATTAGGAGAAAAACAAACCCAAAACCCTGGGCAGCTAGCTTCCTAGCTCTTGTTTCAGTTCTTGGGGCCCGTTCCTCTGCTAAAGAGAATTCAGAACTTGACCTCCTCATGTGTGGTCACTGGGTGTGCACAATAAACCAGGCCCCTGTTCTTCAGGGAGGGCCCAAGCTCCAGTATTCTGCGGTTTTGATTTTACTGGGTGAGTTTCCCACAGATTATCATAGAAACAGACTCCCTCCCTCTTCACAAAAAGTGAATTTAGGCTTTGAGAGAGTGTGCAGTTAGGAAGAGGGAGGCTCCACTCAGTCCTGGCAGAGGAGGCGGAGGACAGACACGCATGCTGGAGAGTGGGCCTCTGAAGCCTCTCAGCTGGGTCACTGGCTGCAGCTGCTCACCTTCAGCACCTCCACTTGGTTCCCCAGGCCTCTGGTGCAGAGCTCCATCACGGAGTAGGAGCAGAAGGTGTCCCTTATCTTGTACTGGTTGACAGTGGCCAGCCACAGGGACAGATTGCTCTCCAGCTCCATAGGAGGGATCAGGACAGACTGGTGGCCTGAGTAGACGCTGCAAAGAGGAAGCAAGAGCTGACGAGGTTACCTCAATACCTGAGAGGACTATCGGGAAAGGGACAGCAGAGGGCCACATTAGGAACAAGGCTGACCATTCCTCCCATTCCTGCACGACTCGAGAGATGTGACGAGCCAACAAAGCAGGCTACGATAGATGTGGTAACAAATTCACAGGAACAGCCAAGAGCTCAGAATGAAGTAAAGTGGGGGTGGGGTGCCTCACTGAGTGGGAGCACTCAAACATGAGTGTCTACAAGTGGGGAGGGGATGGCAGAGGAGCATGTAAGCAGGAGGTATGGAGCAGGCACAACATTCCTGGGCAGAGTGCACAGGAAGGGAGGGCCGAAGGGCTGGAAGTGTGAGAGGTCGAGGCTGTGACAGGAAGCTGGCACACTCTACCCTTCAAGTGTGACTGTGTTGCCATAAAACCAGCACGGAAGAAAAACTGCAGATGGAGCCCTGAAGGCTGGAGACGGTTAGGGGGAGCGATGGTATCCCGGTGAGGGTGAGTCCCAACCGTGCAGCAGGCCAAACAGAAGGAATATGGAGTCACATGAACAGTCTCCATGCAGACTAGGCTAACCCCTAAAACCAGAGTCCAGTGCCACCAGAGGTGGGGTCTGGGCCAGTTCAGTCCAGAGAGGGCTCCACCAGCTTCTTTCTTCCATGTAAAATGGCCAATTTGCCAGGGTATGAAGATGCAATAATCCCACTTGCCCACAATGGGAGGCCTTGAACTCATGGTCAGCCTTCCATTTCACTCCCAAATGCTAGACTCACAGGACCAAGCCACCATACTTTGTTCTTTTCCTTTTTAAAGAAGATTTTTACTTCATTTTATCTATCTGTCTATCTGTCTGTCTGCTTATTTATTTTGTTTTTCTGAGACAGGGTTTCTCTGTCCTGTAGCCCTGGCTGTCCTGGAACTCTGTAGACCAGGTTGGCCTCGAACTCAAAATATCTACCTGCCTCTGCCTCCCAGTAGCAGATCAAGGGCATGGGATGCCACTATGAATAAGGGCGTGCCACTACAGCCAAAGACAGGTGTGGCACCCTGTGGGTCCTGGGAGCTGAACACGAGTCCTCTGTGAGAACAGCAAGTGCACCTAAGTGCTGAGCCTTCGCCCTAGCCCCTTTTTCCTATCTGAGATGTGGTCTTGTTTTTTTGTTTGTTTGTTTATTTTTATTTACTTATGTATTTTTTAATGTCTGAGCGCTCTGTCCACATGCACACTTGCAGGCCAGAAGAGGGCATCAGATTCCATTAGAGATGGTTCTGAGCTACCATGTGGGTGCAGGGACTTGCACTCAGGTCCTCTGGAAAGCAGCCAGTGCTTCTAACCTCTGTGCCATCTCTTAGCAAGATGTGGTCTTGTTATACAACCATGCTTGCCTTATGAGTCTCCTGCCTCAGCCTCCCAAATTTCTAGGATTACAGGTGTAATTGCTGTCTTGGTCTTTAACTTCCCCAGGTTCAGCAGTGACTTAGTGTACAGACAGCTATCAGGGCAATAAGCATGTCAGTGGCATGCAGATGGGAAGGTGAAGATAACACCCAAGTTTTCAATCTGGCCCTGGGGGACAGCCTTCCCCCGACGGAGACAGGGCACCGGAGGAAGGTGCTGGAAGAGTGACAGGGGCTTGTGAACCATTCACAGTGTCTGCACAGGAAGTGAACATTCAGGCCTGAGGTAGTTTCCTGGCAGGCAAGAGAGCAGGGACTTGCCAGTCCTCAGGAAGCACTCTGGTGAAGGCAAACTGCTACATCCCAGCCACATGACGTCAGCGCACTCCACTCTGCCCTTCCTGCCAAGCCTAGCGGGTAATGCTGGCTGTCAAACCACACTTCACCTGAGAACCATCCTTCTACTTTGGCTCTGCTTCTAAAACTAGAATTACAGGATGGAACAGAGAGCAGGAAAAAAAACAGCGCCACTTTATAGGAGGAATGAAACAAAGTGAGAAGAATGGAAAAAGCAAGATAGGTAAAACTAAGCAAACGTCAGAAACACATAAGGTGTTTGTATTTTGGAAACTGCAGTATTTTACTCGGAGTTTACCAAACCAAATGAGCAAAGGGGAGGGTCAGTGGCCACAGTCCAGGAAGTCCATGGTTGGGCTTCTCCACCCTACCTGCAGAGACACCAGAGCGCGAAGCCAAGTCCACAGTAAGGGTCGAGGCAGATGGCGACCTGCCGGGAGGAGTAGAGCTCGCACTGCAGCTTGACGGCTCTGCACAGAGCGTTGACTGCCGCGTGGGACATCTGCAGACAAGGACACGGCAGGGTGGGTTGGCGCCCAGAGCAGCCCTGCCTGCACCGCCTCCCCCGTCGCCCAGTGCGACTCAAAGGCTTCAGTGCTTCACGGTATCAGAACAAAGGAAGAAGATAGCCGGCTACCCCGTGGCTGGTGCAGCCTCAGGAAAGCTGAGCTGCGAACCCCCTTTCCCTAGAGCTCTTGCTCTCTGAGCCCCAGCACCTCACAGCGCAAATCCTGTGGGCTCACTTCCTCAGAAGAGCCAGAGCTCAGGGTTAAACAGCAAGGACATTCGAGTCCCCACCTGTGGGCCAGCATCCTCCCGGCACAGGGCAGGTGCGGCTGCTTTACCTTCACTCCTGTCAGCATGCCGGTAGTGGAGACACTGAAGTCCAGGTACGCCAACATCTCAGGAGTGGGCGGTTTATACAGCTGAGGCAACCGTTTCCTGGGTAAGTCATCTGCAATGCACAGAGGAGACCGGCTGTGAAGCGGGCGAGCCGGAGCACGGGGCATGGCTCCTTCGACGGAGCTCCTGGGCACGAAGGCTGAGCTTCAGCTCAGGCCGGTCATCTCAGCAAGGCGGGCTGTGACGCCACTGGGCAAAGGGCACCAGCAAGTCCGCAGCACGTGAGTCCACCCGCACACGTGCCAGCGGGCAGCCACAGTGAACTGCAGAGTGCCAGCGTTCAATCCCAGACGTGAAGCTGTCGCCCGCTCTGTGCCCCGGGGGCTCACTGCTTTCCTCAAACAGATCTCCAAAATTCCGACCTCGCACGGTGACTAACGGTGAATTTTCTTTGTTAATCAACTGATTTTATGTGTGTGTGCGGGCCTGAGTGTGTGCATGTGCGCCACGTGCGTGCAGAAGCCTCTGGCAGTCAGAAGAGCGTGGACCCTGGAACTGGACTTACAGGTGGTTGGGAGCCACCAGGTGGGTGCTGGGAACTGAACCCAGGTCCTGTGCAAGAGCAGCCAGTGCTCTTGACCTCTGAGCCGACTTTCCAGCCCCAACAGGAAGCACTTTGAAATCAGCTGTGCATAAGCTCAGAACACATTAATTACTGTTACACTTTCTCAGGAAGCACGGTATGCCGGGACAGTGTTGACCGACTGATTTGGTGTCTCCTGGGAGGCAGCCTCCAGGCACACGTACCAGGAATGATTTGGGTGGTGTCATCACTGGTCGTGCTTATGAGGAACAATGGTGATCAGGGAACGGGAGCCAGGAAGGCCCAGCCCACAGCAGCGTGGTTCCTGACCCACACAAAAAGCCTCACATCTGAGATTTCTGGGCTCAACAACAGTGTTTTAGAGCGGGCTACACAGCTGTTAAAGAAGCCTGAGCTAGAGCCCAGGTCTTCCAACTGCTAGTCCACTGCTGTTTCAGTTATATCCCATGGACAAGCCCAGGGTCGTCAGACTGTCTCAGTGGTGTGTGTGTGTGTGTGTGTGTGTGTGTGTGTGTGCATGTGTATCTACAGGTGTGCATGTATGTTTGTGTGCCTGTGGAGGCCAGAATTCAACCTCGGAGGTCATTTGGCAGGAGTCGTCCTGAGATCACCCCAGGCCTCACCTGAGGCCACCCATGGCCTGAGACAGGGCCACTCACTGGGTCCGGGCCCTCAGGAAGACTAGACTGGCTGGCCGGCGAGCTCCTGGCTCCCCTCCACGGTGCTGGGATTACAAGTGATCACCTTCACGCTTATGTGGTTCCTTCCCCTGGCACAGGCCCCGCCTGAGCTGCCTCTCCCGCTCCCTGGCTCAGTAGCCCACCTGATCTCCATGGCACCTCTAGATGACGTTAAGAGCCTCTCTGACACGCTACTTGCCTCTCTGGAGACAGAGGCTCGAGCTGCTGCACAGCCTGGGCCTGAGCTAGCGGGCCTCCCACCTAGGACTCTGGGGTCCCGGATGGCGGCTCTACTGTGTCTGCAGATGAAAGGTGTCCTGACAGGAAAGCTGTGCTGGCGTGAGACCCCGGGACACTCTAGTTGTGAACGGCACAGCTCCAGAGCAGCCCCTCACCTGTGTCGATGAGGGTTGGCCAGGTTTTCACATCCACGGCCGCTGCCGCCTCCCGGGACTTCAGCAGCCTCACCAGAGTCTGAGTGGTGAGGACACACGAGGCTTTGCTGACCTAGAAACACGGGGCAGCAGTGAGCACTGGAAGGCCACGCCAGGCCAGCGCTGGGCTACTCTTTTCCCTTTGTGCTTTTATTTCTGAAAATGTGTCACGCTTCATTTTCTCCGGATGACAGACATGTTAACAGAGGCTGCAGCTAACACCAGTTACACTCTCAGGAAGGACCCTAATCTTTGCAAAGACAAAAACCAAAACTTAAACAAAAACCAAGACATGAATCCTATGGTGCTTAGGAAGGCCAAGCTGGGGGGGGGCGGGATCCTGGAACTGGGGTGTGCAATCTAGACCTACAGTGCACACCAGTCTGAGGCCATGGAACCGGACGGAAGCGCCCACACAGATGAGCTCTGTTCAGCCGTGCAGGGAAAGGCACGGTGACCTACTTTCACCAGTGTGTCAACAGAAAGCAAATGTCCAGCGCCTCTCCAGGCCTCTCTGCAGGAGCTAACAAGGACTTTCTTCCCTCTGAACTAAGCTGTGATGAAATCATCTGTGGTGAGCGTGTCGACTTGCTAACACCAAAGTTGCTGAGACAGCAGCAGCGCTCGGAGAAACAAATCCCTCCATTAGAAGTGCGATGCGTGCCAGTGTGCTGGCCAGCAACCTCCTGTTAAAGATCTCAGGACATTACACACCACAGACTTACTCCATCTCAATTCGCCTTCAATGCCAGCACTCAGGAGGCAGAGGCAGGTGGAACTCTAAATTCAAGGGTAGCCTGGTCTACAGCAACTTCCAGGACAGCCAGGGCTACACAGAGAAGCCCTGTCTCAAAAAATAGATATATAAATAAATAATTAAAAGGAGAAAAGAAAAAAGCAGCCTCCATCTCCACATACAATGCCTCCTGCTTACATCCACCCCCACCGCCCCATGTCTCCTCCCTCCCCTCCCCCAGCTTCATGTGCCTCTTGTATAATTTTGAATTCATTCATTTTTAAGCTTCTGAGGCCAGTGCTGTGCCTCTGCCCACAGGCATGGCCCACCACTGGGATGTGGCCTCACGTGAGCACACTCGGATAGAAGGTAACTCCTATTCCTTTAGGGCCTGGAGCCCCTCCCCTACACATCTCACAGTGCTAACTACACAAAACTAAACCAAGCCAAAGTGACCTGGCTGGGACAATGTGCCGTGAAAAAGTACACTGGTTTCTGTGCCGGAGGAAATTAAACAGATAGTAAGGTGTTTTAGGAAAGCAAAGCTCTGGAAAAGTCACTCGGCTCAGCTGTGCTCATTAGTGTGCAGCGTCAGGCCCAGCCTCCAACAGCGCTTGCCTCGTTGCCTTGCTGGACAGCGACGGCCACTGTGGCCAGAAGAGACCAAAACAGACTCGTCTACAGGAGAGTCCCAGGTGCACACCACAACACCCCAGGCTGGACCACCACAACACCCCAGGCTGGACCCCAGGTGCACACCACCACACCTCAGTGCTGGGCCCCAGGTGCACACCACACCCTAGACTGGACCCCAGCTGCACACCACGCCCCAGGCTGGACCCCAGGTGCACACCACCACACCTCAGTGCTGGACCCCAGCTGCACACCACGCCCCAGGCTGGACCCCAGCTGCACACCACGCCCCAGGCTAGACCCCAGCTACACACCACCACATTAAGCCGGGGACGGGAAGTAGTTAAGGATTCTCAGTAGTCCCTGAAATGGGAAGAGGTAGTGAAGAAGGCACTTACATCGACGATCATGCGCACGGTAGGCAGGGTGGCCGTGAGGTTCTGAGCGTGAGGAGGCCGCACGGTCACAGGGATACAGCCCGAGTACAGGCAGCCGTAGAAAGCAGCAATCAACTCGATGCCTGTGAGGGAGACGGCAGAGTCAGGGGTCACACAGCTGCTGCTGTCACCAAGGAGTGAAACCCAGAGCTTCCCAATAGTCACGCCCCTCAGGGGGCTCGGGACGACTTATTGACTGGACGGTGAGGCAGGGTGGCTCTGGGCGGACCCTCACACTGGGATTACAGGTGTGCAGCGCCATACCCGGCTCAGGTCCATTATTACAGCACGGCTTAAACAAGACACTGACAGTACGAATTTTAATAATTAGGAAGAGCAAAAAGTCTGGCCCAGCGGCTCACACTCAGCCTCTAAGATACTGAGGCAGGCATACTGCCAAGGGTTCAAGATCAGGCTGGACCACACAGTGACATTTAAAGGCCATCCTGGGCTAAAATGGAGTCCATCTTTAAAACACACACACACACACACACACACACACACACACACACACACACACACGGGTGGTGCCAGCAACTGAACCCAGAGCTACGCCACAGCTAGCAAGGGTCATAATGGAGCTGTCTCAAGCCCAGAAGCGAGCTCTTGAAAGATGCTTCAAGGCTGCTACTGTTTGCAACTACTGCAAAGAAGAACTGCAGAAATGGAGAGTATTTAACCGAGGAAACAGAGATGGAGGAGAACAAGGACCGCCGAGTGTCCCTTGCAGAGGCTGCTGCAGGGACAACAGCAGGGCGCTCAGGCGCTGCAGGCCGCCGGTGCAGCTCTACGCCGTGGACCTGTGCCTCATCGCTGACAGACGGAGGCACTGTGAACACACGAGGCACAGCCTAAGGCACATGGCCTTCTAGGCAATCTGTGCTTAGTGAGCAGCATGTTAGAGCATGGAGGAGGTCAGGGGACCCGGAACTCTAGGCAAGCCCATCAGGACAGAACCAACACAGGAGGGAAATGGAAATGTGTTGACTTTAATTCAAATATTCCGTCTAAAATTCTGAACGCTGGGCTACTGAGATGGCCTATGCCACACACCCCTGCTGACCTGAGTTCAATTCCTGGATCCCACAGTGGAAAGAGAGAGCCAGCTCCTAAAAGTCGTTTGTCTTCTGACATCCACACGCCCACACTCACACACACTAATGAGTAATAAACTCTACGAATGACTACTCATACAAAACTTTCATTAAACAAACTACCTTCACCTTCCTATGAAGACAAAGGTGGCAAAGGGTGAAAACATGGGGAGGCCAAAGTCACGTGAGGGCATGAGGCCAGCGGCATGCACGCAAGCAGGCTAGAGGGCGCCGCATGGCGTGGCTCTATTCCCGAACACTCCACCTTTCAGGCCTGTGGCTGTGGTGCCGCCTGAACCAGAGCCTGGGCACGCGCTCCCACGACCTTCTCCTGCCGCCCCTCACTCCCCGCCCCTTTTCAGAGGCTGGGTCACTGTGCTGCAGGGGAAAGTGTGAACACCAGCACGCCTGGCTGCTTGTGTGCATGCCGCTTGGCTGCAGGCCTCCCGAAGCCGAGTACTCGAACCTCTCTTCGCTCAGCTGTCCACCCAGCGCTTACTGAGTGCCTATTTACTTAAGCTGTGTGCACGCACTGTGAGCACAGGCGGGAGGTTAGCTCGAGCATGTGTGTGCGGGAGCTGGGAAGAGTGTGGTGCTTAGCACTCCGGCGGCTGTGGGCACGAGCTTCGGACCCGGGTGGAGTCTCGCAAAGCAGCCCCGGCCTCTTCCCGGGTGTTGTGAGCTGGCTCTCACTGACCCTGGGCGTCAGCAGTGAGGCTGGACCAGCGGGTCACTGAGTGTGAGGGTCCGCCTGGCTCTGCGTCAGCCCTGCGTCACCACGCCAGCTTTTCTCTTTTCCTTACAGATGTAAAATGTGCTTGTTATTAGCAGTAGTGCACACGCCCACGTGTGTGTGCGTGAGCGCTCAGATGTATGTACACCTGTGGAGGTCGGAAGGTAACCCTGGGAGCTGGCTCACCCCTTGCACCATGAGTTCCTGCACCAACATCACCAGGCATGGCGAGCTTGGCACATGGACTCTGGGTGCCAATGCGGGTCCTCGGGCTGCAGCACACTTGGTCCACGGAGCCTGCCAAGCTGAGGTGGCGTGAACGCCTGATCCTCCTGCTCCCACCTCCCAGGCTGGGATTACTGGCTGGGCGCTCCCACGCCTGCCAGTTTATTGTTTGTTCTGAGACAGGCCTCACCCTGTAGCCCAGGCTGGCCTGGAACTCAGAGAGATCCGCCTGCCTCTGCCTCCTGAGAGCTGGGATCACAGGCGTGTTACACTTGTCTGCTTACAGGTCTCGCTCTGTATGTAGCTCTTGCTGAGCCTGAATGCCCAACTCTCCTGCTACTGCCTGTGCGACCACACCCGGCTCGGATACCTTTCCCGTAGCAGGCACTGACAGGAACACTAGGGAGTGCAGAACAGGCAGAGGCTCAGCAAAGCTGTCACACTGCTCCCGCCTTAGCAGGTGTGCACGGCGCACTCGGTGTTGGTTGTGAGGGAGGCCCTGTGCTCGCCTCCCTTCCTAGCGTGCCATCTTAACAGCTCGGAGCCCAGTGTACCAACCCGAGTCTTACCGGGCGGGTAGAGCAACACCACGTTGTCCCCTGCATTTAGATGTCCCTTGTCGCCGAGCACGGAGGCGATCCTCTCCGCCCGCTTATGGAGCTGCAGGCAGCTCGCTGTGCACACGGTGGTGCCCTTTCAAGAGAGGAAGGGTTAAGGCTCAGCGCACAGAGGGACACACAAGCCAAGCAGACGCTCCCACCAGGCTGGCCCTGGACACCACCTTGGGGGATGATCAGCCCCAGAAAGCTCCCCTGGGACAGAGAGCAGCGTGGGCTTGCCCTCTCCTCCAGTGTCCCGGGCACTCAGGGCGTGCCAACACTGCCATAAGCCATGCATATTTAGTCTTTCTTTCCTGGTGCTTTCTTAATGCATGTGAACTATTCCACCTGTTTGTTTGTTTGCAGACAGTGTCTCCTGTAGCCGAGGCTGGCCCAGGCTACTCAGTGTGAGGACAATCTTTAACTCACATCTTTCTGCTTCTACCTCCTGAGCTGGGATTGCAGGCACGGATGGCCTTGCACAGCTGTGTGGCGTTGGAGATTAAGCCCGGGCCCTTGTCCATGCCAGCCAAACACTCCCCGCCCTGCAGGAGACTGTAAATACCTTGGCATTCAGCAGCATGAAGAGCACGTGGTCAGGGGTTGCCTGGGCTCGCCACTGCAAAATCTCCGCCAGGAACTGGTGCTGACGTCACAAAGAGAGAAAAGGACTTGAGGTTAGCGAGCTCCGGAGACACGTGTTGAAGTCTGCACCTGCACCCTGAGGCGGCTGTGAGCTCCGGCCTGCGAACACTGGCACAAGCCTGGCACGTTGGGAACTTACTTTCCTCACTAGATCATTCTCCTCTATCTGCCCCAGGTCCCTTCCTGCAGCTTGCGCGATGCGTTTACCAGCGACCAGGTTGCCAACCATCACCGAAGCAGGGCCTACCCCTGTGGACAGAAACAAAGCCATCTCAGGTCAGTGAGTCAAGTCACACACTCCCAAGCATTTCCAGACAGGCCCAAACTGGTTCAACGGGCCATTCAGCAATGTCGGGGAAGCAGTTGGTGTCACACACAGGCAAAGAGTCTGTACTCCATTGAGAAAGCCAATCAAAAGTGTACACAGCCTGTAGGCAAAGCTGGGCAGGGGAAAGCTCGGGGGAAGATGAATCAGGGCCACAGCCAGAAGACGCAGGGTGAGGGGAGGAGGGCACAGGTGGCCCGAGTCTGGATCTACAATTTTACTCCAGAGGGCACACTTTTATTTGTTCCAACTAGCGCGTAGGGGGAGTGGATATCTGGTCTGCGAAAACAAGCCCCTGTCAGGGTGTGGACAGTTCATCAGACTGTGAACAGCAAGGCCAGCAAGACTCAGCGCGTAAAGGTGACTGCCACCAAGTCTGCCTTTAGGAGCATGGCAGAAGAAGAGACAACTCTTACAGCTTGTCCTGTGACTCTCTGTCTCTCTCTCATACACATATACACACTCTCTTTCTTTTGTTTTTTTGAGACAGGGTTTCTCTGTGTAGCCCTGGCTGTCCTGGACTCACTCTGTAGACCAGGCTGGCCCCACACTCACAGAGATCCGCCTGCCTCTGCCTCCTCGTGCTGGGATTAGAAGTGTGTGCCACCATGCCCAGCACACACACACATTTTTAAAAGGGAATATAAGAAGTGTTTTATTAAAAGTAAATGACGAAAGTCATTGCTACACCAACCTGAAAAAAGGGAAATGATGGGCTGGGCAGTGGTGGCTGAGTTCCAGGACAGCCAGGGCTACACAGAGAGACCTCATCTTGAAAACCAAGAACAATCAAAAAAGAAGTAAATGATGACACCCAAATCGCATCTGTGTCTTTAAGATCTATGTGTTAAAGACAAAATGAGGCCGTCAAATGTGATGTGCAACCGTGACGCGCTACTAGAGCAAAAACAAACAAACAAACAAGCAAACAAACAAGCAAACAAACGCGTTATAAATAAGTGGGGAAAGGGTTGTGCCTCATGCTGAAGTAATATGGTAGAGGGTCATCACGCCTGCGATCCACTTTAAGCTGGCGGGGGAAGGACCCCACAGAGCAGCTTACAGCCAGCTGGGCTCCAAACAATAACAGAAAAGAAGGGGGAAAATGGGGGACGTGATGTTGGGGGGCTAGGAAGAGGAGAGGGACTGCAATCAGGATGTAAAGGAGAAATAAATATAAAAATAAATCTTAAGAATAAATAAATAAAATTTATTTATTTATTTAAAAGAAAAATTTTAAGTTTACTATACCTCTAAGGACATTTAAAAAGCCATCTACTTTAACATGGCTGTTTTCATTTAAAAACTAAGATTATCAGGGAGTAATGGAGCATCTATGCCACCCAGCACTGGGGAGCTGAGGCAGGAGGATTGTGATTTATGGCCTGCCTGGGTAAAATAGCTAGATCCTGTCTCAATAAACAAAACAACCCATACTACGACTTAAAATAGGGTTTTACTCAGAGCAAACAAATACAAGACTTTAATAAGTAGCATGACTTAAGATGGAGAAGCATTTGTACAGATCTGTGATTCTTCAGTGCTAGGGATTGAATGTGAGGGCCTGCAGGCACTAAACACACTCGTCCAGTCAGCTGCACACAGAATGACACGCATGGACACGTGTGCCATCCACCTATGCAGGCAGTGTGTTTCGAGGCGCTCCTTTGTACAGTTTCCTTTTTATGTGTGTGTCTCTCTGTGTGTGCGGGTACCCAGCAGAGGGTGTCTGGTCCTGGGGCTGGGGTTATTGCAGCTGTGCGGCCCGGGATCAGCACTTGGCCTGAGCCTTGAGCACTCAGGCGGAAGCATGACTTGGCCTGTCTCCTTAGAACCGTGGCCCCAATGACAAAGGGACGAACACAGGAATCGGGACCCTGGCCCCCATCCCTGCACTTCCACTAGCAGAAGCTGCTGTTTCTCAGCTACAATAGTGATGAGGCGACAGCAGTCTGGCCAATCAGTGTGACAGGACTTGGAGACAGCGATAACACAGCCGTCAAGGAGCACAGTGTGTCTCATCTTCATACCAACAGCCACGTAGGGGGTCACGGGGTCAACGCTACTTTCATTACTGCACATGCTGGTCCCCTTTCGGCAACACTGCCACACCAAACACATCAAAAGCCATGCTTCCCTTTCTAATCCTTCCCTTCTTATAACCCACGAGAAGGCTAATCCACACTGGGAGGCCCGGGGCACCTGGCGAGGCTGGGAACTGGCTCTGATGGCTCCAGGCACAGGAAGCTAGAGCACCCACTACCATCCCTTACCGTGAAGAGAGGGCAGCGCAGCGGAGCGCAGCCACGAGTGTTTTAAGTCCCTTCCCTGGCGCTTTCACTGAGTCAGGGGTTCTCTGGGTAGCCCGGACTGTCCTGCACTTGCTTTGTAGACCAGGCTGGTCTTGAACTCACAGAGACCCACCTGCCTCTGGCTCCCAAGTGCTGAGATTTAAGGGTGTGAACCACCATGTCCAGCCTTCTTTCTTTACTGAGATGGAGTCTCACAGGCGGGTCCTCACTCCACAGGGGCTGAGTGTGACCCTGATCTCCAGGGGCAGGAACTGCAGGTACTGCCACCCCCAACTGGTGACACACCTGCACAGGCCTGTCAGCCACAGTGCCCTTTCTGCAGCCCGACATGTGGGTCTGCTCACAAGTCAGTGAGAAAGGTGACACTGGCTGGTGCTCTTTATCCTTCCAAGGTGGCAACTCAAATCTTCTGAGTGCCTGGAGAACAGGCAGCACAAAGCTGCTCATCTACTGCAGTCCAGAACACCTCCTACAGTCATCTTCTATAGAAAGCAACTGCTACAGTCATCTCCTCTACTACAGTCATCTCCTCTACTACAGTCATCTCCTCTACTACAGTCATCTCCTCTACTACAGTCATCTCCTCTACTAGTCATCTACTCTACTACAGTCATCTACTCTAGGAAACACCTACTACAGTCATCTACTCTACTACAGTCACCTCCTCTGCTACAGTCATCTCCTCTACTACAGTCATCTCCTCTACTATAGTCATCTCCTCTACTACAGTCATCTCCTCTGCTACAGTCATCTCCTCTGCTACAGTCATCTCCCCT